CATAGATAGACGGGCAAGTGTGTGTGTGTGTGTGTGTGTGTGTGTGTATATATATATATATATAATTCTGTTACACACAATATTAATAATACAGTTCCCTCAACAATACAACTATTTTATTCTTTCCCTTTCACTTTCCCATTTACAACATGTTTCAACCCCAACCGGCCATCATCAGGTATCTTAATTTGCCAAAACTGTTATACTGTACTGAATATCACTCATTCATTTCACATGTAACTGTAATATTCCATGATATTAATGTTGAAGTCACAATCTAGCTAACATTAGTTGAATTACCATACACTGTAATTTACTTTCTATTAAAATTCATGGAAAATTCATTAAGTTTTAAAATTTATTTTCATTTTTCTTCAAACTTTGTTACCTCACTAGGGTATCATCCTCTTGTCCAGACAGTGCATTTCGTTCCTTTCCTTGGATGTTTATATTGTAGAAGCCTGTTGTTTTCTGTACGTAAGCCCCTTGTTTCTGTTACATTTTGCCCCTTGTCTGTACATCGTTCTCTCCACCAGCATATGGTCTTGTCCTCTCTTGTAGTAGATGTTGTGCACATCATACACTGGTGGAGAGAATGACATAGAGACAAGGGGCAAAACATAAAAGCAACAACAGGCGACTGCAATATAAATATCCAAGGAAAGGGTCAAAATATAATATCTGGACAAGTGGATGACTAAAATAGAATTTTATAAAATTTTAAGAAAAGAAAAATAAATTTTAAAATTTAATGAATTCTAATAGAAAGTAAATTACAGTGTATGGTAATTCAACTAATGTTAGCTAGATTGTGGCTACATGTTGCAGCTATTGGAACATGGAATGTAAGGACCTTGAATCAAGCAGGCAAATTGGAGAATTTGAAAACGGAAATGCAGAGGAACGAGGTGTCTGTTCTAGGTGTCAGCGAAGTGCGGTGGAAAGGACAAGGTGAAATAAGAAGTGGTGATTATACAGTGTATTATTCCGAAGGTGAACGGGCTGAAAGAGGTGTGGCAATAGTGGTGCATAAAAGTGTAGTGAGGAGTGTTGTTAAGAAGACTGTTTGTAATGACAGAATTATTGCTCTGAAGTTAAAGGCGGAACCGGTAGATATCCTGATTATGCAAGTGTACATGCCAACATTAGAGTATGAAGATGATGAAGTGGAAAAGTGTATGACACAATTGAAGAAATTCTTCAGGAAGATGGAAGAGGTGACAGAAACAGCATCATATTGGGAGACTGGAATAGCATTGTTGGAGATGAACTATATCAGAATGTTGTTGGATCACGTGAATTAGGAAGACCAAATCACAGGGGTCAAATGCTTATTGATTTTTGTGAACGAAATGGACTGATTGTCACAAACACTTGGTTCAAGAAGCCAAAGAGAAGAATTTACACATGGAAGGCACCTGGGGATTGGAAGAGGCATCAGCTGGACTACATCCTTGTGAAACATCGATTCAGAAACAGTGTGAAGGATGTGAAGACGCTTCCTGGGGCAGACATTGACTCTGACCACAACTTGCTGGTTGCCAAGTTCCGAACCAGGTTGAAGAAAATTATAGGATTTCGAAAGCGCAGACCCAGATGGGATTTGGAGAAGTTATATGCTCAAAGACAAAGCGTGCAAGAGACTCTAGAAGAGAAACTCGGTGCAATTGAAGGTGAAAGCGGAAATGCTGAAGCGCAGTGGAACGATATAAAAGAATGCATGTTAGATACTATCAGTGATTTGGTAGGTAAAGTTGAGAAGATAGCAAGAAAACCATGGGTTACACAGGAGATGATGAGTAAAATGGAGGAGCGAAGGAAATGGAAGAATGTCAACAATGAAGAAGGCAGGAGGAAATACAGGAGACTGAGGAATGAATTGAAAAGAGCCACGGACAGGGCCAAAAAGGAATATCTTGAGAAGATATGTAATGAGATTATGGAATTTCAAAGAACAGGCCGTTATGATTTGATGTACATGAAGACAAAAGAACTAGGATGGAAAGAGAATCATGGGATTCAAAATGTTGGCATCGAAGACTCCCAGGGGAATAGAATAGTAGATCAGAGGCAAGTGCTGAAAATTTGGGAAAATTATATTTCAGAACTATATGATCGACCTAATCGGCCAGAAACCTTAGAAGTTGAACCGGAAGAAGAAGTAGATACAGACGAGAAAGGACCATATATTTTACAAAGTGAGGTGGAAAAAGCTATCAAGGAAATGAGGAAGGGAATGGCTACAGGAGATGATGATGTACCTGGAGATGTGCTCAAGTTACTGGGAGAAGGTGGTTTGAAAACACTGACAAAACTAATGAACACCATATATGAAAGTGGAGAGTGACCCAAGGACTTTACAGAAGTTACAATGATTGCCTCAAAGAAAAAGACAAACGCTACAAAATTCAGCGACCATCGCACAATAAGTCTTATTGCACATACAGCAAAGATAATAGCAAAGATACTTAAAAGAAGAATTGAAAGGAAAATAGAGGATGTACTTGGAGAAGATCAGTTTGGATTTAGAAGAGGAAAAGGAACCAGGGA